TCAAAAAAAACAAAAAACAAAGAACACAACCATTTCCTTTGCAGGAACATGGATGCAGCTGGAGGCCATTGCCCTTGGCAAACTAACTCAGGAAAAGAAAACCAAATAAATGCATGTTATCAGAAGTGGGAGTTAAATGATGAGAACACATGGAAACAAAGAGGGAAACCACAGATACTTGAGAGTGGAGGGTGGGAGGAAGAAGGCAATCAGAAAAAAATAACTATTGGGTTGGTACTAGGCTTACCTGGTAACTGGGTGACAAAATAATCTGTACAACAAACCCCTGTGACACATTTACCTATATAACAAACCAGCACATGTACCCGTGAACCTAAAATAAAAGTTAAAAAAAAGTGGGCAGAAGTTACGACCAAGTTATCCACAGAAGAGGAAATTCAAATGGCCTTAAATATATGCAAAGATGCTCACCCTCACTCCTAACAAGACAAAAAAGTAAAGCAACTTGGCAAATTAAAGATTTTAGCATGCACTGCTGGTTAAAGTGTGGGGAAATAGTCCTCTTATACTGTTTAAATAGGTGTGTAAGGCTGGGCGCAGTGGCTCACATCTGTAATCCCAGCACTTTGGGAGGCCGAGGCGGGAGGATCACCTAAGGTCAGGAGTTCAAGACCTGCCTGGCCAAATTATGAAACCCGTCTCTACTACCAATACAAAAAATAGCCAGGCATGATAACACATGCCTATAATCCCAGCTACTAGGGAGACTGAAGCAGGAGAATCACTTGAACTTCCAGGAGGTGGAAGTTGCAGTGAGCCAAGATCGTGCCATTGCACTCCAACCTGGGTGTCACAGACAGACTCTGACTCGAAAAATACAAAAAAGATGTATAAATTGGTACAAGCTCTCTGGAAGGCAATTTGGAAACATGTATCAAATTATACAAATAATATTCTCAGTAACCTTGAAATTCCTTTCCTAGGTATATAGCACATATGAATACATTTTAACCTGTAAATTTGAATATACAAAATTATGTATATTCAAAGATATTCAGTATATTATTGCTTACAGTCCAAAATAGTGGCAATGAAATATCCATTCATAGGGGAGTGGTTAAATATATGAAACATATATAAAACATATATATGAAATGGTTTCATATATTATAAAATATATAAAGCCATTAAAAAGAATGTGGCAGCTCTATATGTTACAGAAGAGGATATATACATATTTATTTATAATAATTTGTGACTATGTGTGCGTGTATTTCTGGAAGGATAAATAAGAAAATGATCCAAATGGTGTTTTTCTCCAGGGAAGGCAATGGGATGGACAAAGTGAGGAAACAACCCTTAATTTTCACAGCACATCCTTTCGTACTTTTGAATTTTGAATTAAGCACACATATCATTTAGTCAAAAATAAATACAAATGTATTTCAAGACACTGGGCTCACAGACATCCTAGTGACTCACCTGAATCAGTATGCGAATGCATGCATATATTAATCTCTCTGTTCCTAAAAATATACTGATATTCAGTGCGTCTATTCATTAGCTGAAGTTTGAATATGCTGCTTCTTGTTCTTTTGCCTGAACCCAGGAGGCGGAGGTTGCGGTGAGCCGAGATCGCGCCATTGCACTCCAGCCTGGGTAACAAGAGCGAATCAAAAAAAAAAAAAAAGGCAGTCAATAAAATAGATATCTTTGTCTTTAGAGTAGACGAAGGGGTGTGTGCATGTGTGTGTGTGTGTGTGTGTGTGTGTGTGTGTGGACTACAAGTCTATTGTCCTATTTTAGATACACGTTTCAATTTAAAATAATCTAAAACAAGACATTCCAATTCAGAAAAGTCTAAAACCAGAGTGTATTGTGTACATTATGTATGATGGGTTTGATTTCAAAGATGGCTACAAAACAAAGGCTTTCTCATACATTATACACCTGAAGGCTATGCTTATTTGTAGATTTTTTTCCATCGGTTTAAATTTTCTTCAGAATATAGCCTCCCACTCCCCATCTCTGCTAACTGCTTTATACTGTAAAATAGTTGTCTGTTTTATGGATTGGAAACCCTGCATGGAGATAGAGCTTGCCAAAGACCCTTAAGAATATATCTAGTATTGGAAGTTCACATTGTCTTCTAGCCTGAAGTTGAGTGTGCACATAACTCACCTGGGTATTTTCCTAAAACAAAGATTCTGATTCAGTAGGTCTGGAGGGAAGTGTGAGATTCTGTACTTCTCAAAAACTCCCAGGTAATGCCAATGTTGTAGGTCCACAGACTGCACTTCGAGTAGCAAGACCAAAGACAAAGACTATACAGTTTCATGTTTTGGCTTGGTATAGCCGAATCCGAATGCTCTGTCATCGTGTGTCTTCCCAGTTATCAGATAACTGTAGTGACTCAGTTCCAAGTGTTGGTAATACCACTCAATTAAGCAGAGAAAACCTCGTTCTATATCTTCTGATTTCCATTATGATGAATTTTTCTGAGTAATTGTAGCCTCTTTTGCCACCCTTTGCTACTTAATGATTAACAGCAGTTGTTCCGCTTTTCTCACTCAAGAGGAGACAATCAAAAGCATTGAGAAAGAGAAAATGAAAGAGAGAGAGAGAAGGAAGAAAGAGAGAAGGTCGTGGGGATTGTCTTTTTATTCCCCCACTTCAGTATGAAGCAGCAGCATCTTGGGTAAGTGTGCATGTTCTCCAGACTCAAACCCTCCCTTTAGTGAGCAGTTCTGATGCTTATTGGGCACCTTGAATGGAGGACAAGAACTTAACATGCATGTTTACCTTTAGCGGTAATAACAGTGATAGGTTGATTTCCCATCTGCCTTATGCCTTAGTCCTACTTCTTAATGGATTCAGAACTTAGGGTAGAGGGAAGAGGGGTGTTATCAACTGAATCCTTTCAAATCCCCTATGCCACCTAGAAAACCAGCTAAGACAGTAATGACACGTTTGAAAAGGTCCTAAGTTCAGACTCTTGCCTCTTCCCGAACACATCCCAGGGCTACTTTCTAGCTTCATCTCATCCTTTGAGCAATGCTGTCCTATCCAAAGCTCAGCCCAAAGCCCAGACCTTAATCTGATTCTTTCACTAGGTCTCTTGGAGGTTCCTCATCTGTACATTCCTACTCCTAAATGCAAAAAAATAGAAAAAGATCACTTATCCCCTTTTCCCTCTTTGATATGCCTTGTATTGGGCAAAATCTAATTTTTACTTTATCCATTATCTCTGCCAAGAGGCATGATCTTCAAATCCTGCCATTCCCATTTTACCTTCCCAGTGGCTATCTTCCTATTCAGAAGGAAACCAGAACTTAAAGACCTTGTTAATCTTAATAAGGCTTCCAAATTTCTCTGCCTTTGTTTCGTACCTTCTCCTGGATCCCTTCGTCATTACCAGCAAAATACAAAATAGGGACATCGAGCTCAGAGGCAGCTACCCATTGAAGGATGGCTTGGAGTTGCTTGTTCTGAACTGTATCTATTAGGTTGTGATTGCTGACAATCACCTTGGGTGCTGCACACCCTTCAGGGGGCTGTCCTGATACACCTCTCAGTTCATATGGATAGCCTGATAGGCATTCTGAAGAAAAGCTTCTGCTGTCCCTGTGCCCTTGACTGGCAAACACTCATATAAACTATCTGGGAAGGCTGACGTTAGCCTGCCAGCATCTTCAGACTTGTCATCTTCCAGCTCTGTCAAAGAAGTATCATAGGACTTGGCAATGATGAGATGCAGCTTCATCACTGAGTCCCTCAGATGTTCTACCATCTGTCCATTCATGTTGCCATCTAGCTGGTTGATAACCATCTTGGTCAGCCCAGAAAAGGCACCAGGGGTCTCATCATCTTCACATGGTTTGGGGGGTGAAGAGGTTAAAGGTCTTTCACACAAGTTTATATCTTCCTTAACTAGTTCTTCCAGCACCTTGGGTTCAGAGTAATGGCCACGCTTGAAAACGGTCTCACTAAATAAGCTCCAGATGAAATTGAAGAAAACACTTGTTAGGACCTTCTTTTCTGCTTGTTCTTGGTCATCTACGTTGTGCGCAGTCTTCAGGCAGGATTCATCAGGAACTACAGGAGATTTGTTGGCAGGAAAGTTGGTGGTTCCAGCAGCTTCAAGGAAGCTCTGTGCATCCCTTCTGTCTCCCTGGGCCAGGTGATATTGAATCAGAGGTAGGGCAGATACAATCAGGTCCTTGGCCCAGAAGTCTGAATTAAACATAAAATTCTCAGGTTTCTCTGGGGGATATAAAGGAGGGCCGAGGTTGCAAATATCTTCGGGGTACTCAAAGGAAATGTCTGGTGCAGGCTTACACTGTGCGTCGGGAGCTTCACAGGCTGCATGCTGGAAACCTGGAGATTTACATTCTTTCTGATTTTTATGCCACAAAGTCAGCACCTCTTTGATAATGTGTTCACCCAGACTTTCGGCACAAGTCTTCTCCTTCTCTGATTTGGCTTCAGAATACATTTTTTCTCTCAATTTAGCTTCAGATCTCATGGCAGAGTTCACATTTCATTTTTTAGGGTCACCCATTCCTTTCATGGAGAGGAGGGAATAACTCTCAGCCTTGTCTTTGGCTTTCCTGATCTGCTCAGACTTTCTCCGCCAACATCACATTGTACAGCTTCTCTAGCATGGCATCCATGATATCTGAGGGCTTTTGTCTTCCATAAGAGAAGACAGTTCTTTTCACAGCCGAGACAAAGTCTGTGTTAGTCATGAGGGTCCCTGTGACATTGTGGAGGTTCCTCATGAAGGAGTCGATGACAGCTGAGACCACCTCTTTTGCATGCTTGAGCAGAACCTTCTTCAGTAGGACGGTGGCGATGGTTGTGTCTTTCACTTGGATCCTCAGTGTCTTCATCATGGAGACCATCATGTCAGACACCACACTGTTAGCACAGGTCATGATCCCTTCACTAACTGAAGCTGTAAACTCATCAGCCCTTTCCTGACCTCGAAACATCTTTCTCTCCCAAGGAAAGAACCTGGCACCCTCTCTGGCATAATCTGCATTACGAGATTCAAACACTTCCTTATGGAATGATACAGAGAAGATTAGCATGGCCCCTGCGCAAGGATGACACGCAAATTCATGAAGGGTTCCATATTTTTACTTTAACTCAAGATTCTAACATTCCCAACAGCGAAAAAAGCTCTGGAGTGGCTGGGGTACTAGACTGGTTTAATTTCTTTGGGCCTTGTTTTCTCATCTGTAGAATTAGGGTATTGGGCTAATAAAGTTCAAGTTAAAAATCTAAAAAAAAAAAAGACTTCTTAGAAGGAGGCTTGTCCTCTGGATCCTGTATTTCCTTGGTGCTCTCCTTCATCTTCGAAGTGGACTTGTATTTCAAATTTGGGGGATTTTGTGATGATTCTGATGCTCTGTCTCTAGAGCCGGGAGCCTTGTCTGGGGCAGCATTCCTGGAACATGCAGAGACAGTCTCATTCACCAGATCTGATGCTATGTTACTGAGACTTTTGATGGGATGGGTTCATTCCCCATGTACAACGACTGATGGTAACATGTTTTCAGAGCCGTCGATGGCCTCATTGATCTCTTTGCAGGTCATGGCTATGACTAGATTCGTGAGGCAGTTAGCATCGAAGGAAACTTCATCTACTGAATTCCCATTGCCAAGTCAGGCCCTGGGGCCTTGGAAAGGATTCTCCTTGTGAGTGATCTCAAAATGCAATCTCCCTGGAGTGCCCTTGGTGGTGGTGTTGTCGTAGTCTCCGGAGAAACCTTTGTGTGGGTCTCCTGAGTTGGACTGTTCCCCACCAAAGGATGATTCTCTGGGCTTGAACCTAACCTCTTGGAACTCTGCCTACTTTTCTCCAGGTCTCTGCAGAGCCAGCTGAGCACTCTTGACAGGATCCGTGGAGGTGTCCTTAAAAATAGAAAAGCATTCATCTGACTATAACAAGTAAAGACTTGGGATATTCAAGACAACCTCAAAGTTCAGTTACAAATGTTGTCAGCCCTCTCAAGCTTGCTCCATCTTGGCAATACAAGTAACTGTTTATCGAGTACTCACTGTGTATCAGGCATCATTCCAAGTATTTTAAGACTATTATCTCATTTAATTATTCTCATAATAAGGCTGAGATTTAGCTCTGTTATTATCCTCATTTTATAGAGGAGGAGATTGAAGAACTGAGAGGTTATGACTTATTTGAAATAATACAGCTCACCCTTGATGGGGCAGAAATTCCAGTCCTGGCAGTCTGACTCCACAGTCTGTGCTCTCAGCTAGTACATTATATTGCTTCTAATGACAGACATCTTTAAGATCTGATAGTCTGCTAAGGATAATGGCCTCCAGCTTCATCCATGTCCCTGTAAAGGACATGATATCATTCTTTTTCATGGCTGCATTGTACTCCACGGTGTATATTACCACATTTTCTTTATCCCGTCTATCATTGATGGGCATTTAGGTTGATTCATGAACAGAGAATCAAATACCACATATTCTTACTTATGAGTGGGAGATAAATGATGAGAACACATGAACACAGAGAGGGGAACAACATACACTGGGGCCTTTTGGAGAGTGGAAGTAGGGAAAAGGGAGAGCACAAGAAAAGTGACTAATGGGTACTAGGCTTAATACCTGAGTGATTAAATAATCTGGACAACAAACCCCTGTAACACAAGTTTACCTACATAACACCTGCACATGTACCCCTGAACTTAAAAGTTGAAAAAAAGATCTGAGAGTCACCAGCTACATAGAAGAGTTAGCATTTGAACTGAATCAGATTTTTTCTTGTTTTAATATTGTTATTTTCTATGATTTCCCTGTTTTTATTTAGATCATATTATAAGTATGGTTTCCAAAAAATGAGAAAATTCAGGGGAAATTGTGCATACTTGATCACTTTGCCAGGCTGCACGAACACTATCTAGATATGTTGAATGGCTTCCAGTGGACTAACTGACGTCATTTAAGGTAACATTCTGATCTATAGTTCAGGAGTTAATATGTATGGGCAATTTATGAGTTTTGTGTGAATACAGATTCTTTGATGGACAGTAGCTGCGATACGCACATGGACATGTTTATATGTTTATAAACTGTACAATCTGCATATGGGAAAAACTCTTAAACATAGGATAAAATCGTATATTTGAAAGTATCTTATTTATTATCACATGCAAAGGATCACTGTAATTATTGGAGTTCATATGTCTATCTGGGAATGGCCACAAATACTGCCCATCTTTAAAGAACAATTTGGTATTTTTATTACCGAGTGTCAAATAGTTACTAGTTATCATTTGTGACGTACTCATAATGTTTGCCAGGCACTGTGCTAAATGTTTTACAGGCACTATTTTGTTTAATCCTCAAATTCACCTGGTGACATAGGTTCTACTCTTCCAGTTTCACAGGTAAGGAAACAGAGGCTTAGGGAAGTTAAATGGTTTGCCAGGCATCTCACAGCTATCCAGGGTGGGATTTCATATTCAAATCCAATTCTCACTCTAAAATCTGGGCTCTCTACCCCTACAATATCCTGCTGTGTTTTGATTACTTGGAAAGAAACAAAAAGAAAAGCCGTTGTGCTAGTTGTCTGCAGAACTGGTTTAAGTGGCTTGTTACCATGTTGGAGTTAAGGGCCGTTGTGCTTGGTTCAAAACCCTCCCAAATGGTTCTCCTAATAATAGCTATTATATGGGGTATTTTGGGCTTTAGTGGAAAACTACACATCATCTATAGCATACCCCTCCACATTATCTCACATTATCTGATTCTCCTTCTCTTGGAGCTATTTTACAACTCTGTTAACTGTAGATAACTGACAGCAATGCAATATAATTCTTGCATAGACACCGATAAGGGAAGTGTCAACTGACTACCTCTCCCACTGTAGAGAAGGTCAGCTCTGCTTCCATGGGCACATTCACTTCAGTATTTAGAAGGTACATGTGTCTTTTGAACCTCACCTGTTCCTTGTTAATGAGTTAAATAAAATCATTAACACATGTTCATTTTTATCTATGTGTGAGAGTCATTATTCTACCCTTCTTTGAAAATTATCTTTTAATGGGTTTGGAAGTCTTCCACGAAGATGCTCAATAGATCCACCTAATGGAGATACATGTCCTCATGAGACAAGTGCACCAGGTGTATGTTTTCTCAGCCCCCAGAGTGGCAATAGAAGTTTGCAGACATTCTGTTTTTCTAGGTTTTCTTTCTTTCTTTCTTTCTTTTTGAGATGGAGTCTTGCTCTTGTTGCCCAGGCTGGAATGCAATGACATAATCTTGGCTCATTGCAACCTCCTCCTCCCAGGTTCAAGTGATTCTCCTGCCTCAGCCTCCTGTGAACCTGTCATTACAGGAGTGCACCACCACGCCTGGCTAATTTTTGTATTTTCAGTAGAGACGGGGTTTCACCATGTTGGTCAAGCTGGTCTCGAACTCCTGACCTCGTGATTCACCTGCATCAGCCTTTCAAAGCACTAGGATTACAAGCATGAGCCACCGTGCCTGGCCTGTTTTTCTAGTTTTAATTTTCCTCTCCACTAATTTTGGTTTTGGTTCTTACTTTGGTTTGTTTATGGTCAATTGGTGGCAATGATGATTGGAAATTTGATTTCATTGTCTGACCATTGGTAATTCCTTTTATGGATTAATGACTTATAGAGATCTAACTTCTGTTGGATGTGAAGCAACAGAAAATTTGTTTTGAGAGTATCTTTTTGTCTATCTTAAGCTTAAATCAATCAAGGTGTTTGTGCTCAGTTGGAAGGAGAAGAGCTCTTTGATATTTGGACAGGTGAGTTTTATGTTTCTGGTTTATTTTTGACACAAAGTTTGGCTGAAGGTTTAGAATTGAAGCCATAAACTGTCTATCAGTGACTGCATCGCTACGTCTGTAATTCAGAAAACCTTAGGTGGAAGCAGCAGTTTCTTCCTCCAGGTAGGATCAATACGTAATATTATGAAGTCTCCTAAATCAAGGGATGTTTATTTGGATCGGCACGTGCACACACATGCACACGCACACAAACACACACTTAGGTAAATTAAATATTTTTGATATCCCTAGAAAATAAGGAAATCCAACTTCTAATATTTAAAATATTTAAAGGGAATCCTAAAAGAAAAGAAAAGAAAAAAAAAGCATTTTTATGGAACCTAACTCAGAAACATTTTACAAACCCAAATTGACATAAATTAGGTAACTCGTTGGCAAACAGTACTAGATTAATAATTTTGGTTTAATAAATACAGCTGTATCTTTTCTTATTTATCAGTGTTAAGTATAATACAATTGTATGCTTTTATTTTACTTTGATATGCTTTTCATAAACTTACACAGGTTACACAGATCCAAAAAAGCCAGCATTACTTCTACTTAATGTTTAAAGATTACAAAAAACATAAATTTGTGTTTAACCAAGTTGAATAATCATTCTGACATCTTTATTTCAACAGTTATTATGTTTTAAATGTCAGCCTAATGATAAGTTTCCAACATCTTTGTATAACTTAAAACACTGGAGTGGTATTACATTGAGTTGATGTATATTCACTGGATATGTAGATCATTTCTAAGTAAGACGGAACACAGAGACATTGATGGCTAAGCATAAAGTTTATATGCTTTTGCTTGTTATTTTTATCACTTATAGAGAGGCTGTATCTTTAAGTCTGTTAATGACTGTGTTCATCTTCTCCACTTAGAGAGGCGGTATAAAGGGTGTCTGCATCTGTAGCAAGTCTTCTTCAGGGGTATTCATGAGTTCTACTCATCTGAATTTCAGCTGGTGTGTGATGTTCCCAATTACATACCCCTCACCCACCAGTTTTTGTGTGTGTGTGTGTGTGTGAAATACAAAGAACAGAAAGTACTTTGGTTAACAGTTATGATTAATATTAGTGGTTGAGACTATGATTAGGAGCAATAATTTCGGAGAAGTCTAAATGTATACCTGCTTGTTTTCTTAGGGACTGCAGGTGAAACCTGGTAGAGAGAGTTTCTTAGGCTTGACTTCCTAATCTCAGCACAGTAAATAACAGAGGCCTTTAAAAGTCCAACCTGAGATTCCTTAGGAAGACTTCTGCTAAAGCAAACTTAAGAAAGCCTATCCAGTTGCTGCACCTATGTAAACAATCAGGCCAAATCTGATGAGACTAGCCTCATTTTGTATTCAAGAATAATCTCACTTTAATATTATTTTAATTTTTATCAAAATGGGGGAGACTACAGGGAAAAAATTATGCTTAAATAGAAAACCAAACATTGTCTATGGCCTGTAGACTAAGTATTGTCTTCAATCTTCCACATGATCTGATTCTCAGTCTGTGAGAGCTATTTTACAATTCTGAAAGCTGTAGATAATTGATAGCAATGCAAAATAACTCTTGGCTACAGATGTGAAAATTCTATCTAGTGGAAATTGGGTCGACTTTCCTTCCCCACTGTGGAGCAGGCCACTTTTGCTTTAATTTGCACCTTTATTTTAATATTGCTGATACATACATGTATCTTTTAAAAATTCTCTTTTGAACTGTTTGTAATACCTTACCAACTTCCTCACCTGTGAGGTAGATACAATCTTTCATATATATTCATTTTTCTATCTGTATCAAAGTGATAATTTTACCTCTCTTTTTGGAAGATGATAATGCATTACTACCTAGTCATTTACGAATAAACACACTAACCTGCAAATAGGTGTGTTTCCATAATAGGGCTGTAACAGTACAGGAAAGCCTTACTGTAGTGCAGCTGTGGAGTTTATTCTTTTACCCTTTTTGATTAAAAAAATAAATAAATAAATAAAATCAGTTGGGTGCGGTGGCTCACGGCTGCAGTCCCATCATTTTGGGAGGTGGAGGTGGGCAGATTGCTTGAGCTCAGGAGTTTGAAACCAGCCTGGGCAACATAGCGAAACCCTGTCTCTACAAAAATATATTTTAAAAGATAAATAAAATTTAAAAAATAAAAATCCAAACCTACAGCATAGCACAGAGCTTTATAATGGAGTCCACAGAATTGTGTTAAGTTGCTGTGTTTATGGGTTTTTAATGTCTATATATTTTTAAACCTAAAATGTGTAAAATTTATGTCTATTATTCCACTCTATCCACAAGGATTTTGCAAAAGGGGTTGATCAAACCATAGTGACTGAAAGACTAAGTACCCACGTTTCCTTTCTTATCAGTGCAGTCTATAACCAAACATCCATCTCTTCAAACCCCCTTGCCCTCTTGCAGCCTTTCCTCTTCTTACACAATAGTATTCTGAGCAACTGGGGAAGGAAGATGCCAAATTATCTCAGTATTTCTGACGCCTGCGGCAAATTTTCATGTCCATGAAGGAGAAAATAAAAAGGGTTAATGGGTTTTATTTTCTCTACTCACCATCTTTTCATTCAGTAGCTTAGTTTTAAGTCAGCTATATACCTCCCTGTCCTATTCCTCTTCTCCACCTTTGTCTCAAACATACCTTATAAAATTTTCTCTGACCATCTCCCATTTTGAGATGACCCATTCTTTAAACACCTATAGCAATTATTGTCTAGAAAATACATGTGACGAATAATCATGAACTGCTTTTCACTAGTCCAACAGTTATTCAGAGCTTTCAAGTGACCTTTCTACATTTTTTTTTTTTTTTTGCTTTTTATACCGCTTTATTCCAACATGAGCACCTCTACATAAAACCAAACACTGGTGAACCATTTTCCTAATTCTGCATTATTGTAAATGTGTAAGTTCTCCTAGCAGACCAACACATAAATAGATTAAATCATCTCTGACACACGGTAGCTCTCATATAATGAAAATACCTAAAATAATTAGTGAAGTATACTGAACTGATCAAAATAATTGAATGTTGGAAAACAAGGCTGCAAGATTGTTACTAACATATTGTAATGCTTTATGTTACAAATATGGGCACACTGTTAAGGTTCTAGTCATGGAGGACCAACTGAAGCCCCTTCCTGTCAGAGAGGGGAGAGAAATAATTAGCTGTTTCAGTAACTGTACATTTTGTATGCTTTTTTTTTTTTTTTGAGATGGAGTTTCGTTCTTGTTACCCAGGCTGGAGTGCAAGGGCGCAATCTCGGCTCACCGCAACCTCCGCCTCCTGGGTTTAGGCAATTCTCCTGCCTCAGCCTCCTGAGTAGCTGGGATTACAGGCACGCGCCACCATGCCCAGCTAATTTTTTTTTGTATTTTTAGTAGAGACGGGGTTTCACCATGTTGACCAGGATGGTCTCGATCTCTTGACCTCGTGATCCACCCACCTCGGCCTCCCAAAGTGCTGGGATTACAGGCGTGAGCCACCGCGCCCGGCCCATTTTGTATACTTTGAAGCAACTCTTAAATATTGCAGAAAAGTAATATATATATGGAGACTACAATGCGGTATACTGTTGTAGCACTAAAGATTGAATTTAAAATAATCAAGTTTAAATGTACATAATTGTTGGTGCATTGACTACATTGCGTCAAAAGTGAATGAAAGTCTCCTCCCTGCACCAAACAACAAAACCTATGTAATGGCCAGCAGTGATTAATTAGAAATCACAGATACCTAGTTTATTTCATTTTTGTTAAATGACTCACATGTTTGAAAGGAACACTATACATTAAGATGCATTTATTAGTTCTCAAATTCCTAAAACAAGATGGGGTTACATTTGATTTTTTTGACCCCATTAAAAAAAAAAAAAGGACTGGCTATAATTTAGATACCATTAATGCTCTTTCCACCCCCCACCTTGTATATGTGGGATTATTTTCTTGTAGTTAATTTATTAAAATGTGGAATGTACATTTTAAATACAGATACCAGGAGAAATGAACATTTGCCTGAATACTATGGCTAAGCATAAATAACATTAGAATCTCCTTCTAAAAAAAGAATGTTTTTGAAAAGCCCAAATTAGTAAATTCTAATTTTTTTTCACAGTTGACTACTACACCAGTGTGGAGAACTAAGCTGGTTAACTGTGTGGACCCAGTCAGTCATTTGTCTATACTCCTAGTAATGAGAAATTAGGGGGAATAATGAATAAGTGTACACATAGTTCTCATTTTTCCCTATTGCTGAAACATTAGTGAGAGGGACCCATGCATGTTACTAAAAATTAAGTTCAAAACACTTAAAATAATTCTATATTAGAAACTTGACTCTATTATCACAAGTCTCTTTTTTCAGAAGTCATACTGGGCTGGATAAATGCTCCAATTCCATCATTTTTTTTTTTTTTTGAGACGGAGTTTCGCTCTTGTTACCCAGGCTGGAGTGCAATGGGGCGATCTCGGCTCACCGCAACTTCCGCCTCCTGGGTTCAGGCATTTCTCCTGCCTCAGCCTCCTGAGTAGCTGGGATTACAGGCACGCGCCACCACGCCCAGCTAATTTTTTGTATTTTTAGTAGAGATGGGGTTTCACCATGTTGACCAGGATGGTCTCGATCTCTTGACCTCGTGATCCACCCGCCTCAGCCTCCCAAAGTGCTGGGATTACAGCCTTGAGCCACCGCGCCCGGCTGCAATTCCATCATTATTAACAGTTAAGAAGCAGAAGACTATTCCATCTAGTTCAAACTGGAGGTTTAGTTGCTGCAACACTGACTCCTGCTTGGTTGTGTGAGTTCAGCAAGGTTTACTCCTCTTCCTCTGGCAGAATTTGCTCCTGGATTTTGTGGCTCCTTCTTTGGCAATTTTTTAGCTATTGCCACAAATATCTCATTTGCGTTCATTAATGTTTTAGCTGCTGTCTCCATGAATAATAAACTATTGTCATCTGCATAAGTCTGTGCTTCCTGGAAATCTACTACTCTTTTCTTTGCTACTTCAGCCTTGTTTCCTGATAAAACTACTGCAATGTTAGCATAGAACTTGCTTGCCTCTGAAGTTCTTTAACCCAATTTTCTGCTCTTGCAGAGGACTCCTCATTTGTGTTATCATATACAACTATGGCTGCTTGTGTCCTCTGTAGTACATCGGTGCTAGGCCACGGTACTGTTCTTGACCAGCTATATTCCACATTTCAAACTATACTTTTGTGTAAGACACACACAGTTTGGGTTAGAAAAGGAGCTGAATCTCCAGTTTAATTTATCCAAAATGTCTATTTTCTGGCTAAGAACCATCACTCTTGGTCAGGCGTGGCGGCTCACAGCTGTAATCTCAGCACTTTGAAAGGCCGAGGTGGGTGTATCACAAGGTCAGGAGTTCGAGACCAGCCTGGCCAAGATGTTGAAACCCCGTCTCTATTAAAAATACAAAAATTAGCTGGGCGCGGTGGCTCACACCTGTAATCCTAGCACTTTGGGAGGCCAAGATGGGTGGATCACCTGAGGTCAGGAGTTCAAGACCAGCCTGGCCATCATGGTGAAACCCCGTCTTAAAAAAAAAAAAAAAAAAATATATATATATATATATGAACAATGACTTCAATAGAAAACTTTCCCAACAGCCACTTTAGACCCACTCCACTCTGGATATCTTCATCCTCAGCTCTCAATGGAAGGAAGATTTCTTAAACATATTTGCACCTCTAATGAAGAAGCTAGTGCCTGGTATCTGCTACAGGTGCTTAACACATCTTTGTTAAATGAATGAACCTAGCAGCCATGTCCCACCCATTTGTGTCTTTGCTTGATGACCCTCCCCCTGTACCCACTGGATTTTCAGTAGATGCTCAAAACTCAATGTGACCAAAATAGAATTAATTTACTGCTCCCTTGCTGGTGGTTCTTGCCCTACCAACTTAGCTTTTAAGTAAAAGATGTTTTATATCTAATTAGTTTCTAAAGCTGTAACTTACTCATACTAGCAGTAAGTCTGGCGTCTCTCTTACTAAAGACCAAACCCTCCTCATTAGCCAAGGATCCTGGGGGAATTCTCAGCCTCTATGGTTCAGTGCAATTTCTGAATAGCAGTCAGGATGAAAGAGATGTCATGTGCGCCATCCAATGGGCCTTTGTCCATGGATGCAGTGATTTCCTTGCTGAAGTGAATTTGTTCACAGCCTTCCCAATACTTTGCTCAATTCCCTAATCTTGGTAATGGCACCACCATTTACCTGGTCTTCTAAGCTAGAAAACCGAGATTCATTTTAATTGTCTTATTCCACCCCAAGCTTCCCTCTTGCTACTATTTCTCTCTTTTTACACTTGCAGTCATTTTCCTTAAATGAATTGCTTATACCTGCTGCTTTCATTGATTGATCATAGTACCTATTCTATGTACTCCTTACTTGGTAGTCTTTGAAAACATGGCCAACTATCATAATGACTTAGAGTTATCCACTGATCATCTAAAATTATGAGAATGTTGCCCTCTTTTCTATGTCAGACTTCCATTCCCAGGCTTCCACATTGACGCTTCCCTTCTTATATTAAAAACTTTGCTCAGCTTATCCCTCGTTCCCTCTTCATCCCCTAGGCCCAGTTGCCATTAAAAAATTTAAAAACAAAAAAATCCTGCTCAGACCTATACTTCTCAATTATCAAGGTGGAATGGCTACACCATTTCTCCTCCCCAATGCCTCAAACATCTTTATGAAACAGAATATCTCTGTATTTTAATTCCAACAAAATACTGGTTTAAAATACTATTGTAATCAAGCCCAACAGCTTATCCTAATTTTTTATAGTACAATTGTGTTTTATGAAGAATTGCTTGAAATAAGTGAAGCAATATTAAGGCATGAACATCTGGTTAACTGGAAATATTTGTTTTAAATGACATTGGACTGTGGTGAAGATAGACATCCTCTCTCAAAATAAAACCAGCACAGATCAATGAAAGATTAAATACATGATTGAAACTTATATAAGTGGATATGTCATTTTTGTTATACAGGATATTTCAGATAATCATTACAAAGAAAATACAAGATCTTTAAGAGCTACTTATTCTTTGCTCTCACAATAATTTGCACCTGTTTTCACACAGAAATCACTACCTCAGATTATTGAGCTAAGGAGTTTATTTTAACCTTCCAGGTACCCAAATACAATGGATTCCTTAGGTAAACAATGGGTCCTCCACTCTAATTAGACAGACAAATCACCAAGAGAACTGTGTAAAGATACTGAGTCCAAGTCACCATCCCCTGAAAATCTTATTTCAGTGGTTTTTGGTTGGGGAAACTTAGGCATTCTTAATATTCTTAAATGCTCCCTGGGTGATCCTAATATACATCAAGAATAGAGAATTTCTAGACCAGGGCTTATCTGGAGAGACTCTTTGAGAAACACTGGCTAGTCCAGAAAGATAATTATTTACCCATTTCTTTCAGATTTTCTAACTTTCTTTTATTTTTTAAGACAAAGTCCCACTCTGTTGCTCACGCTGGAGTGCACTAGCACGATCTTGGCTCACTTTAACATTTGCCTCCCAGGTTGCCCACCACAACCGCTGTCTCCCAAGGGAATATCTAATTCCTTTAGATATTCCAGCACTGCTAACATCCTGAAAGCTGTGAAATTTTCCCATGGCCAATAGAAGGATTGGATTAAAATGCTCCTCAAAAATGTCAATGTGATAATTACCTGCCTCAGCCTCCCAAGTAGCTGGGACTATACCAGGCACACCACACTTGGCTAATTTTTATATTTTCAGTAGGGATAGGGTTTTGCCATGCTGGCCAGGCTGGTCTTGAACTCCTAACCTCAAGTGATCCACCTACCCTGGCCTCCCAAAGTGCTGGAATTGCAGGTGTGGGCCACCATGCCCAGCCCGATTTCTAATTTTTTTTGGTATCTTATTTTAATGTTTTGTTACCTTAACAAGGAAGTTGCTAATGTCTATGAGGTTAAAGACTGTAACATCCTCTGCATAAACATATATACATATAAATATTTTTAGGCTTGCATCACTATTACATATACTTACATATAAATATTCTTATGCTTACATCATTACTATAAAGAAAATAATGAATAGTATTATGATTTGGCCAAAGAATTGGAAGACTGGGAAGCAGCCTGTCCTAGATTATCGATGTACAAGTGAGAGCCAGAAACATAATCTCTTAATCTTCATTTTATATTTCATCCAGATGAGTTACTTCTAACAGAAAAGTGTGACAAAATCAATAGATAATTTCCTTATTTAAGCTATATACAATATAATGCTGAAAAGTGTGCACAAAAAGTATGGAAATTATGTGATCACTTACTCTCACTCAGGATAGGTTCTGAGATATGAGGAAAACTCTTGATTAATTTATTGTTCTTTTCACTATCCCTCAGTTTATCCCCCCTCCTGCCATGATTACATGGATACAGAATCTGCAAAGGAAAGACACAGATAAAAATGACAAATTTTACAGATGAAACTTATTGCTCTTACTACCAAATAATGATTTTGACCTATTTATTATTTTTCACATGTGCATATAAGTAATGAGCTCAAAATGACATTCAAATTTCATGAGTTCACATCTTATTCCTGGTGCATTCTAGCAGTTCCCAGATGACAAAAAAGGTTCCACTTTTGGACCAATGACTTCTTTTTTTTTTTTTTGAGACGGAGTTTCGCTGTTGTTACCCAGACTGGAGTGCAATGGCATGATCTCGGCTCACCGCGACCTCTGCCTTCTGGGTTCTAGCAATTCTCCTGCCTCAGCCTCCTTAGTAGCTGGGACTACAGGCGCACACCACCATGCCCAGCTAATTTTTGTATTTTTAGTAGAGACAGGGTTTCACCATGTTGACCAGGATGGTCTTGATCTCTTGACCTCGTGATCCACCTACCTCGGCCTCCCAAAGTGCTGGGATTATAGGCGTGAGCCACCGTGCCCGGCCAGGACCAATGATTTCTTAAACGACTATTGTTATTCCTCACTTTCAAATCATTGGTATACAGTCTTTTTAAACAATGAAGACACTAAAAATTTTTAGCTTAATTCTAAACTTGCTTGAATAAGAAGTTGGAAGAAAAATAGCTGGAATGAATAAGCACCCTAAATTTATGGAACTCAAAACACTTTGCAAGCGTCTATGAGGACTATAAATACACACTCTCAAGTTATGAGGGGAATTCATAGATATCTTTCAGATTAATTAACTTCCTTGTTCTAGTTCAACTAAGACATTTCAGTGGAAGACATTAGAGCACTGTACTCTCTTGTCGAATATCCACCCAGCACCCCAGTCATGGCTCTCTAAATTCACCCTTATTTTTTAGCCCAGGTCAAACTAGGGCTACCCTGTCCATGAAATATTTTCTAGATACCTAATGAATGTGATTGTTCCCCGATATTTCTATCATATTTTGTTTCAACATGTACATTCTATGTAGTATTTTAATTGCTCCCATATATTTCATCTTCTTTACTGGGTGACTTCATAAGGGGAGAGGCATTTTCCTATTCATCTTGGTATCCCTCATAGTAGCTAGCATCTTAAAATTGGAGCTCAATAATTATCTGCTGGAAGAATGAATATGCACAATCTGCCCATTTTCAAATAGCTCATTTTTATTTTTGGATTCGAGAATCCAAGAACAAAAAAGAGATGGCTTGCTCAAATTTACTATGGTGGTAATTCACATATTCAAGACTTCTTGAAGCTCAACTCCTTTGGGAGATACGTTCACCCCAGAGACTTAGTCATGATTTACTAACAGACCTTCCTATTCCACTAGTACAAATAAATCAACATCTCAAAAGTGCTTTTGTATTTTTTTCACAGAAAGAGAACCTACTAGTCAAATACATTCAGCAAACACTTCACTTACGTATGTTCTAATGTTTGTTATTCTATTTTCTAGGTCCTATGTGTGTGTGAATCTGCATTGTGAAGCTTGTTTTGGACTTTTAAAACTTCCTAATTGTCTTTATAGATGAGAGCATCTATAAAGAGGTACCTTAATACTTACTAATGAGAACGACATTCAGATTTCTAAATCACTGTTTCTCAATGAAGTGGAAAAAAAGAAAGGAAGAGCTAAAGAGTTTCATGAAGTCAGTGAATAGATTCAGTTACTGTAAGTTCAAAAACTGGTAAATAACATCCTGGAGTTAGGACAGAAAACAAAAAAAATGATACTTTGTGTTATCTATTAAATTAACAATAAATGGACTTTAGAAGCCATGTTTTCTAACATTCTCATCTTATAGATTAGGATATTGAGGCTCAGAAAGGAAATGCTAGAATCAGTGAATATATTTCTTTAGATATTCCAGCCCTGCTAAAATTCTGGCAGCTGTGAAATTTTCCCATGGGCAATAGAAAGATTGGACTAAAATGTTCCTCAAAAATGTCAATGCGATGATTACTTCAAGTTGAGAAGGAGTGCAAATCTGAATGCCTGTCAGGAAGGGCACAAGCAACACAGGGGCTTGGTAATGGTGGTTGTATCCTAGACCACAGCTCTATCTCAAGGCATTTTTCTCCTGTATCCATTTTAAGTGAGAAGTTCCTGTTTACCCAAGGTTCCTAAACTCATGGAAGAACTCAGATTGCAGAAAGTATAAGTAAAGTTCTTGCAGGGTTGCTATATACTTGATCAAGTTTTGAGGTTTATTCAACCAGGTTTGATTACTAGTTTTGAGAGAGAAGAATATGTTTCTTATATTCATTCTATTTTACTGCCTTCCTTTCTGTAAATAACTGCTACATCATAGAAGCTCAATAAACCTGGTTGCTGATTAAATCAGAGTTTCAATCGATTTTGTTTAAATAAAGATTAGGGTGAGTGTGTGCGTGTGTGTGTGTGTCTCAATGGCACCACTCATCGTTAAGCTTTCCAGTGGAAATTCTTTATTTTCCTCTTCCCTAAGTAGTATCTTCTTCCTCCAGCCCCTGTTAGCACAGATATACTTTCACTACACAGCTATATACATCCTGACCTTTCCCAGTTCTCTGTTGTCTAACCAAGGCTTCAGAAATAACAGTGAGAGGGTAAAAGTGCATGAGAATTGGACTCAGGGCTATACCAGTTCTCTTTTGCTCTTGGGGCACTGGAAAGAAAAGACCTTTAGGAATGGCCACACGATGAATAAGAAAAGTCAGTGCATAGTCAAGCTTCTATTCTATCAAATGGGGAAGCAGGAAGACCTCTCATGTCTCCAACAGGATGGCTGAGGAGATCTTGTCCAATCTGTAAAAAGATCACAATGTCAGCAGCAAAGATGGTAGGTTTGACTTTAATGCTGCTGAAGGAGAGGTTTATTTCCAGAGGTAGGATTAGAATTGTCTGAGCAGGCTGGGCACAGTGGCTCACACCTGTAATTCCAGTACTTTGGGAGGCTGAGTTAGGCAGGTCACTTAAGGTCAGGAGTTCGAGATCAGCCTACCCAACATGGCGAAACCCTGTCTATCAAAAATACAAAAAATTAGCCAGGTGACATGGTGTATGCCTGTAATCCCAGCTACTCAGGAGTCTAAGGCAGGAAAATCACTTGAACCCAAGAGGTGGAAGTTGCAGTGAGCCAAGATTGCACCACTGCACTCCAGCCTGGGAAACAGAGTAAGACTCCATCTCAAAAAAAAAAAAAAAAAAAATTGGCTGGACAGAAGAACAAGGGTGGGTTGAACATAACAAGTTTCCTATCACTTATCACTGAATTCTCCCTTCCAACCACAGAGGATCAGAAAATGGGCTGTTTTATCAGTCCAGTAAGATTTCCTACCTCTGTAGCACTGGAATAGTGAATGACAGAAGACTCCAGAATATACTTTTAAAGTCAATGAAGATGCTGGGATGTTCTTGCCCAGCTCAAGATCTTGTTTCCTCCTGTGGCCTTCAATGTACTTACCCCTTGCTGGGACTGGAGAGTGACATCAGAATCACAATTGGTGATATCATTGTTTCTATAGCAACAGTGGTGAGGCTACCAGAAAATGAGTGGTCAAAAAGACAAAGAGGAGGAGTGAAGATAAGCTCCAAGGCGCTGATGTTTAGTTTGGAAGGACTGGGCTTTATTCTGATTAATTCTCTTTTTAGAGCAGTGGTCCCCAAACTTTTTCACACCAGGGACCAGTTTTATGGAAGACAATTTTTCCACAGATGGGAGTGGGGTGGGAGAATGGTTTCTGGATGATTCAGGCACATTACATTTGTTGTGCATTTATTTCTATCTTTGTGCGATGATGCAGAATGTGTGGGAGCCCTGTTTTCCTGCAACTAGATGGTCTCATCTGGGGGTGATGGGAGACAGTGACAGATCATCAGGCACTAGATTCTCATAAGGAGTGCACAACCTGCACTTTTACAATAGGGTTCAAGCTCCTACGAGAATCTAATGGCAGAAGGTGGAGCTCAGCTTTGCTCACTTGCCCACCACTCACCTGCTGTGTGGCCAGGTTCCTAGCAGAACACCGGTCCATGGCCTGGGGTTTGGGCACCGCTGCTTTAGAGTGTTTAATATAGGCAGGGGAATACGGGAGGGGGACGTTTTGCCTCCCAATGGATTCCACTTAAAACAGCAGAGTAAGTATTATGTGTTAACAAATCTAGAGCACCGTAGGGGAGAATCAGAAATAAAAGAACTGAGGGCCTAAATTTTATGCAAATCCCATAGAATCACTTTATTTTGTCAAATCCAACCAGGACTTTCCTTATTTATAAGCATCTTGCCTTTTGTTTATATATATATATATATATATATATATATATATATATATATATATATGATATTTTGCCTAAACTGACCATCTCTGGGTTATAATTTGTCTTAGATGCTCAGAGATACAATGAACTAATTTATCTTTTGCAATGTCTGACCTGAGAAGCGGTAGTGGGAAAAATCAGATCAAGAGGCAATTGGTTAGCTACTCTTTTCTTTGCTTGGGGTGGAGTGGGGTGGGGCAGTCTTTATTACTACATTTTCTGCGGAAATGTTACCTCAGCTGTAATTAATAATGAAACATAGGACTAATATGTAGTCTCCATGAAGCAAAAAGAACTTCCAAGCAAGGCCACAAGATAATGATGAAAACTGAAACAGATTCAAAAGTGGCTGGTTTATCATAGGCTTCCTTCAAAAAGGTTATTTATTGTTGGATGCAGTGGCTCACGTCTGTAATTCCAGCACTTTGAGAAGCAGAAGCGGGCAGATCAGTAGAGGTCAGAAGTTCAAGACCAGCCTGGCCAACATGACAAAACCTTGTCTCTACTAAAAATACAAAAAATTAGCCAGGCATAGTGGTACATGCTTGTAATCCCAGCTACTTGGGAGACTGAGGCAGGAGAATCGCTTGAACCCAGCTGGTGGAAGTTGCAGTGAGCACAGATCACGCCATTGCACTCCAGCCTGGGTGACAGAGTGAGACTTTTTTAAAAAAAGTTATTTATCCATTGATGATCTTTTATATTAGGTCTCAAAAGAGCTCTTGTATTCTTTTCACATAAAGTGCACCTACTAATCAAATATATTTGTTAATATGTCTCATTTTCTTTCTTTTTTTTTGAAATGGAATCTCAACTCTGTTGCCCAGGCTGGAGTACAGTAGCAAGATCTTGGCTTACTGCAACCTCCGTCCCCCAGGTTCAAGTGATTCTTGTGCCTCAGCCTCCCAAGTAGCTGGGATTACAGGTAGCTGCCACCACACCTGGCTAATTTTTGTATTTTTAGTAGAGGCTGGGTTTCATCACGTTGGTCAGGCTGGTCTCAAACTCCTGACCTCAAGTGATCCACCTGCCTCAGCCTCTCAAAGCGCTGGGATTACAGGCATGAACCACTGTGCCCAGCCTCTTCATCTTTAAAATAAAGAAATGGGGCTTGCTGAGCTCCTAAGATCTCTTCCAGCTTAACATCCTATGATTTGGATACTTCAGTGGTATTTAGATAGTACTACAAGGACCTACATATAGTACTTTGCAGGTGACAAAGTATCTTTGCATCCATTATGTCACCCGATTCTCTTAGTAACCTTTTGAGGTACGAGAGTAGGTTTTATTTACCCCATTAGGTGTAGGAGCTTGTCCAGGTCACAGCTAATAACTGATAAAACTGGGAATGGAATCTAGTATTCTGGGTATTAAAAATCAGTGTTCTTTCAGCTGGGCACAGTGACTCATACCTGCAATCCCAGCACTTTTGGAGGCCAACGTGAGAGGAGGTCTTGAGCCCAGGAATTTGAGACCAGCCTGGGCAATATAGTTAGACTCCGTCTCTTAAAAAAAAAATAAAATCAGTGTTCTTTCATTTACACCATGCAACCTTGCAACTAAAATTGAGAACATGAGGCAGTGTTTAACTGAGAGATTTTAAATAACATAATTGGCAGTGTTATACAGGAGTTCCAAGGTTGCTGATCTGGTCAGGGTCTGTCAATCTGAACCAGGAAAGTGTGTTACTATCTGTATTGGTCCCAGAATCAAGTATTAGCAAATTGTGTTAAATGAACATAGGATGAAGCCAAGAAATATGACAGCGTAGCATTATTAAGCTTCTCTGGTGAAATTCAAGCGTTTCTTTTGCCTTCCAATTCAATTTCATAGGTGACACTTCAGTAAATGGTAGGGGTAAGAAAGAGGGGAAACAGTCAAGATTTCAAGCCTAGTAATAAAGCAACTCCTAAATCCCTACTCACCTCAGGCCCCCCCCCCTTTTTTTTTGAGATGGAGTTTCGCTCTTGTTACCCAGGCTGGAGTGCAATAGCGCCATCTCGGCTCACCGCAACCTCCGCCTCCTGGGTTCAGGCAATTCTCCTGCCTCAGCCTCCCGAGTAGCTGGGATTACAGGCACGCACCACCATGCCCAGCTAATTTTTTGTATTTTTAGAAGAGACGGGGTTTCACCATGTTGACCAGGATGGTCTCGATCTCTTGACCTCGTGATCCACCCGCCTCGGCCTCCCAGAGTGCTGGGATTACAGGCTTGAGCCACCGCGCCCGGCCAGGCCTTTTTGTCTATCCCAGAAATACATACTTTTCCCGAAAAAACAAAGCACTGGAAGGATTACCAACTAGAAAGAACCCGCCCTCCCCAAACTACGTGGTTTTTCTGATAAGCCCAAGGCATGTTTCACAGGATCACTGGTTGCTTGCTGTCTCGTACCCAGGAATCTGGAGAGGTTGGCCATAATAAAGTATTTTAAAATCCAAGCACTTAGTCTAACCTGGAATTTCCTCAGTCTCCAGATGGCTCTTTGTAGAACAATGTAGATTCTTAAAGGTGTCCATAGTTAAAGAAAACATTACAAACCATTGCGCTACAGAGAGCCATCTGCAGTTTCCCCTTAGACAGATGTTCAGATGGCACACATGGTCACTAAATTTTACATAATATTTCAGGAAGTTGACAGATTTCCTGAAGCCCACTCATGAATCACAATCCTGGTTAAGAACTCCTGGATTCATATGCCAGGTGGTGATAAGTGCTTTGGTATATAAACTTAAACCAAAAATTGGTGGAATGATTACCACCTTGGATAGGATGGTCAGAGTTGTTTTCTCCGAAGAGGTCACTTTTGAGCAGACTTGAGCTGGTGTAGATACCTGAGTGAGCATTCCAGGAAACGCCAACAGCAAGCCCAAAGGTGCCTAGGAGAGAAGTGCTTGGCGGGCTTGACGTACATTTATTCAATTGGGACACACCCTCATTTCGGTTTCTCTTCTCCACTTTTCCCCTCGTCCTTGTCTCCCTTCTCTCTCCTGGGCCCTGGACCTCCCTATATCAGGGAGCTACGCCTCCTTCTTCCCCCGGCCTCACCAGTGCTGCCTTAGCTGACATTTTCAAGGAACAGGAAACTGAGAGTCAGGAAAGCTGAGGTCTTCCACTGAGGTCTTGCCATGTTTCAGGTCCTGAGTCAGTCACTGGTTAACTGAATTTCAGGTTCCTCGGCACTTAGAGATTGTAAACAAAGATATATCTTTAAAGCCTATTCCAGATTTGAGATTCCACCAGCCAAATTCTTTTCACTTCCTTTCTTCCCCCTCTCCTTCACTAGGCCTCCCTTCCTGTCTCCTCTCTTCTCGCAGCTTTCTTCTTAACCACCATGCTACCGAAACTCTTTTCCTCCTGGTTAGCGTCTGAGCAAACAGGCGTGGCAGATAAATTTTGACCCAGCTTAGCAGCCGTAGTCAGCCAGGCGTGGGGAATTGTGGGTGAAGATGGCGGCCGCCGCACAATCCTGGGTTGTCCAGGCCCTGCTAACGTCACGTGTGTGTCACCGGGAACGGCGACCCCCGATCGGGATTCCGAGTCGGGATCTAAGGTTTTGGGAGTGGCGCCTTGCTGCAGCCATCACGCCGACTTCCTAGGCACTCTGGTTTTTCTAGGTCTGGAGCTGCCTCTGTCTCATTTCTCCTTTTGCTTTCCACTTCCCCGTCTTACATACTCAGTTGTACACCTTGGGAGGGGACAAAAGAGCTTGAGCAGCGGGAAGCAAAGAGGAGAAAGCAAGGGGTACGTAAGGGATCGAGAGAATCAGAGTTCTGATATAGTTGTAAAGGTTTAGGATTATGAGAAATATTTGTATGGGGCGGGGAGAAAAATCTGTTAGGGAGCAAAAAAAAAAAGGCTAGTGGCCAGAGGTTTTTTTTGGATTGACTTTATGACCTTGTGCAAACCCTTAATAGGTCTGAATTCAGATTCTTCATGGCACGATGGAAACGATAATATTACAATATCTGGGAGGCTCTAATAAGATTAAATGAGCTAATGTTTATAAAAGCATCATTTTAACTAAAACTGTCTCTACTGATGTAGAATATGTTGGGCCGAGTGACTTGGGGTCTCGGGCAGAGAAGGATGTTTGAGGAGAGAAGAATCAGGAGCTTGGTGGAAAGGAAAGTGAAAAAGAATGGAGGCTATCTTAGAATTTGTTAGCATTATTTGTTTTCTCTTCTAATCTGATTGGATCTGCTCCCAGTTCTCAAATTGAAAACATACATTTGCCCTTCCACTTACTAAAAAGCAAGGAATTACAAATACGGTTATATTTCATTATTATTCTTTCACCTTCTACTCTTCCACAAATATATTCCAATCAAACTCCAAAAGTTGTATTTGTTCTTAGTGTATTTTAATCTTACAGAATATCATTTGCTTTCAAAATTGGCTCATGTCAGAATCACTCGTAGAGCTTTATAAAAAATAGAAATGAAGACATTGTAGAGCGATTGAATCAGAATTTGTGAGATTAGCTTCTTGCACCTTAAATTTTTAAAAGCACCACAGATAGGTTTAATGTTCAGTCTAAGGCAAGGATTAGGAGTTTAGAGGATCCTCTTTTTTTTGTTTTCCATCATGGTTAGAACTCCTGCATACCACTGGTAAGGTGGTGGTGCACATCACTTATAGTGGATAGTTTTGTAGTCACAATGTCTTTGCAAAAGCATTTGCTGGTTCTTGTTAAACTATTACATTCATATGATATAA